GTATGTGTGTATGTATGTATGTGCGTACGTATGTATGTGTGTATGTATATATATATATACATATATATATATATGAATGAATGAATGAATGAATGAATGAATGAATGAATGAATGAATGAATGAATGTATGTATGTATGTATGTATGTATGTATGTATGTATGTATGTATGTATGTAACGCATGTATGTATGTAACGTATGTATGTATGTATGTATGTATGTATGTATGTATGTATGTATGTATGTACGTACGTACGTAGGTAGGTAGGTAGGTAGGTAGGTAGGTAGGTATGTATGTATGTGTGCACATATGCCTCTATGTGACTGCCTGTGTGTACGACTGTCTTGACATGCCCTGTCAACTCTCTGGCTATGTGCTCAGTTGCTATCTTCTTTAAAACGTAATGTGCAGACTGTGACTCGTCGGTTTAGGGTTTGGGGTTCAGGGTTGTTTGCAGTTTTGGGGCTCCGGGTTTGTATTCTTTGCCAAGCTGTAAGTTTGGAGAGTTTCCAGGTTCAGGAAGCATTGACAAGGGACGCAGGGTGTAGTACGCAAGCTCAATTTATGGGGTCGTAAGGGTTTAAAGTTTAGGGTTTAAACCCTTATAGCCCTCTAAACCCTGAACCTTACATGGGGCTGGGGTCTTCTCGAAAGTTGGTGTATTATCAGGGGGATTTTGAAAGGGTTCTCTGTACGGACCTATAGGGTTGAATGCGAGGCATTCATAACATGGGACGTGCTGCCTTATCAGGTACGATTCTGTCGCTCAAGTCTTCTGAAACTCCCAAAACTTCAAGTGCTGAGCTCTGATCCCCAACAGTTCATGGCAACACCGTCAGCTGTTTGGCAGGCCTTGGCCATAAATTCTGATCCAGTAGCTGAGCAAGCAAGCTTCAAGGTGTTTGGGCTCGTTTAAGCCCTAAGCCGAAAATCCTGTTTCCTTCTCCTTTGCTGCAGCCGTTTGGCTGTAAGAAACAGCCTTACGATGCAAGCGCTGGCGAGTGCTTGACTGCCCTTCGTCCGCAAAGTGCCATACCTAAAGGGTTTCGGGTAAAGTGTTGAGGGTTCAGGGTAGAGGGGGACGACTTAAGTTCCGAAGATGATGTTGTTGATGGCTGTTGGCACGTAAAGCCTCCTACCTAAACCCTAACCCTAAGGCTCAAAATAACCCAAAAGCCTCATATAGTATGGTCTTTGGGCCCAAAAGCCTTAAAATATGAGTCCTTAGAGCCTTAGGGTAAGGGTGCTTGGACCTTTGGGCGCGGAGTGACAAAGTTCAGGCACCGAGGCCCAAATTTTCTGCAGGAGGTTTAGGGTCTAGGCTATTCGGGTTTAGGGCTGAGGGTTTAGGGTTTAGGGTTTAGGGTTTAGGGTTTAGGGGTTGGGTTTGGGGTGCATGTCGGTGCTGTCCCTTCACGTCGGCAGTTTTTTTTGCCTGGCAGTTTCTGATGCCATGAATAATGAACAGTGGCTTTCTGACGCACAAGCCTCTCCATGCTAGGGGGCTACATGTGAGTGCAATATATCACTGAGTAGTAAAATTTAGCATCATGATAAGCTTAAGACGGGGACATGTAACTGTTCCCCAAAGCAAGCAGAAACACCCCGACGTGTTGGAACCCTAAGCAAGGCCCAAGTGCCAAGTCTTCTGCCATCTTTCTCTTTTGTGTTCCTCTTTTGCCTGTGGAGTTTTCCATCCAGCTTCGCGCAATATCGTGGACCCTTCTACCTAGAGAAACTAAAATACTACGCACAAAATGAAAAATACATGTGTTGATGGTCGTATCCTTTTCAACGGTACATTGGTTACTGTATGCGTACGTGGCAGCTCATCACTTCGGGCCCGCAAGGGAGCTCTAGCGGCGCACAAACCTGAAACCAGTGTTGACCACTGACGAATCGCCTCCTGACGTTTTTACTGTAAAGACTTTAACTTGCTAGAATCCTGAGCCCAAACCCTAAACCTTGCTATAATCCGGCTCGCGGAAGGTGTACCTTTGAGTAAATGGCCGGGGTTTTAAAAAGCACAGCACTAATGTTGAGGTTTAACGGTATTATAATTATAGTATAATGGATCACAAAACCCTATTCTAATTATTAAGGCCCCTATACCCTAAACCCCAATAGTAGCCCTCATAGAGCCTTTGTTTAAAGGAGCCCCCAAAACCCCGCTCTACTTATTAAGGCCTCTATAACAAGTCTGGGGCTTCCTGGTTTCCTGGCCGCCCAAGGAACCGTGGATCTTCTTTGTCCAGGACTCGAAGGGTTTAGGGTTCAGGATTTAGGGTTTAGGGATGAATCTGAACCCGCAATTACTGGGCTTTGGAGTACCATACTTTAACATTTTTTGGGGCCTGTTCCTTAAAGGAACCATTATGAAATACAAGTCTATACTTTTTTCTCCCTGGTTACTTCAAAGCCCAGTTTATGTGCCGTTCGAATGCCCAGGTTGAATTCGGTTCCTTAGGTTCTTAGGAGCTAAAGTCGAATGTAGGGGCCTAAGTAGTTTCCAACATGATTTGTTGGGGGTTCTTTTTGTATGATTATAGCAATATGGGCCCCCAGAACCCTTTTCTAGTTATTGAGGCCCCTAGATTACCTGTGGAATGCCAAGGTGTACGAATGGTTCATTGTTCGTATGATCATGATTGCTGATTCGTTTTATGTATTTGCAGTAGTAAGTTACTACTGTTAACACATATATATATATAGAACATGTTGTGTAGTTATTTCATCATTACTATCTTAATCCTAGTTATGCTTCTAGTTGCTATCAGGATCCGTATGATGACGACAACAGTCTTAGTATTAGCACTATTTATTGTTATTGCTCTTAGTTGTATGATTAGTCGAGTTATTAGTGTTGGGGTTCTGGATTTAGGCCATTGCAATTAATGTGGGGCTTCGGTGATCGTATATTACAAAACGTTCCTGTGGGATATTCAGTGAATGTGTAGGCGGGTTTCCCC